GACTGCTATGAATCTCCAAAACCTTAATGACAGCAAACGTATTAGGAATAATAATAAAAACAACGATATAACATAATAAGATTATATCATAATGTATGGTTATTACTGTAGAAAGTAAGGTACTCACGCAAACGAGTGCCAGAAAAGCACACGCAAGAAAATACGTTGTCTTCATTGCTCAGCGATATCTTATCTGACGCTCTTTAAAAGCCAAGAGCCGGACAGCAGGAACCGAAACTGTCATAGTTTCAGGCTTCATGTCGTTTTGTCACGGACGTTCCCAAAAAATCATACACCACGACGATAGATAAAAGCTTGACAGCATACGTTTATTTTCAAGGACATTCAGGGGTCACGTTACCTCATTTGTCTTCTTCAGTTGTTGACAAAAATATCGATTTTTAAAATTGTTAATTTTGTGCAAAGTTCAACATTTACAGAATCGATTACACAAACACAGTTTGCTTCATTTGTAAGCATTAAAACGTTCAACTGAAAAATACCCCACCCCAGTAATATTTGTAAGAGAACATATATTTTAACCCCCCCCCCCCTCCCTCCCCCCCCCCCCCCCCCCCCAAAAAAAAAACAATTTTTTAACACAGTTTGACACCTAGCAACCGATGTTTTCAGATAATATACTAGCACTTGTTATATATCAATTTTAAGCCCATTTCAAGAACTATTCTGATAATTATATACGAAAGAAAAATAAAGCACTTCCTGCTAGATTTATACTTAGAAAGTACTGACCATACAAATACTTCATTGGCTCTATCGTTTGACCCCTTAACTCACTGGATCCCAAAAACATTTACAGTGTAATAATGAGTACTTCTTTTTTTTTTTTTTTGAATCCATCAATAGGACACAGGCAATGAACCACATCGCATTGAACGATTAGGTAGAGTTGTCAGATTGTGTATTTAAAAAAAAAAAAACAAATTTAAAGAAAACTTTAAAAAAAGCTAGTGTTCTTTTCTTATGTTTCCCCCAGCTATGAGGACTTCGAGATTAAGTGGGGAAGTTCCCGGGAAAGTCTATTAGTATAGGGGTGATAGGGTGTGAAAGGAACACTAACTAAAACTAACTTCACCCACCCCCCCCCCCCCCCCTACGATGTTAGACTTATCCGTGAACTTCTCACGAAATCTCAGAGAAGCCAAATTTGGATGAAATACAAGGAAAAAAACCAAAACAATTTATATTAAAAAATAAATAAATAGAGTGACAAATTTTTTTAATATCATTGTTGACCACTAATAGGCTATACCAATAGGTGGTCATAGTTTTGGGTCTTCAAAGTGACAGATTAAAAAAAAAACAAATTCGGAATGGACTCCCAAATCGACCAATCCTAAAAATAGATATCAGGAACTGTTTCAGAAAGTCAAGTCAACCAGACTGATATTGATCACAACCTCCATCGAGTTTCAGATTGGTCTATAAAATTGTGAATATTTCCACACGCCTCGAGGCATAGAAGCTAGTACTCTGTTGTTGATTGATATAAATTTATTATGATGAACCTAATGTTTTGGCTTGAATCAGCACCTACCAGGAGCGCTGGAACCTGAAAGACGTAGGTACTTTTAGACCACCCCCCCCCCCCCCAACCCCCACCTACACACACATCAACACAAAATGAACTTTGCTGAGGGTGCCTCAGATTTAACAGGCCCCCTTTATACCACCACCCCCTCCTTCCGCACCCGTTTAATGTGATGTAGGTGGTATGTTGCAACTTTCAGAACCGAAAAGTAAGAAATCTATTATTTTATGTGCAAGTGTGTGTGCTTTATGTTGTTGTTTATATATGTTTTTATTATATATAATTATTATAGATTTTAAACAAGGTTCTCTCCGTGTGGGTTCCAGTGTTACCACTTCGGATGTTTTACATCCAGATTTAGATGTTTTTCTTTGCTTTTAGATGGCGTTTTTGACGTTTAGATGGTAGATGTTTTTCTAGATTTGTTTTCAATTGGAGTGAATTTATCAAATCTAACCCAAGAAACAGGTTGAAATTTGACCTCTTAAATGCTATCTTGACAATAAAATTCGGCCTGATAAGAGTAGGAAAAGGCATTTCTACTTATCAAATCCCTGATTGGGTATTAAAAGAAATTAGAACAGCTAAAGCATACCAGAGTCATTTTGGATCTGAAGCTTCAACTTCATCATCCAAGCTAAGTTTATCCTGTGGATCTTGTGAGGCAGACTTCAGTAATGATGTCATGATTTTTATAGGGTAAGTCATATCAATTGCTATGTAATTTGTGACTCTTTCCATTTGGATGATTTTTTTCTAGATGGTTTTCCACGCAAATGTAGATGTTTTTAGATATATTTTGACTCCGCTTTGGATGTGTGTGTTTTTTTGTCAAAGAAAATTGGCAACACTGGTGGGTTCAAGAGCCTCACGGTAGGGACAACAAGAATAGACTCACTCCCTCCTCAACAAGCATGTTTTACAAGTCGACTAACTGGGAGCTTCCCATGAAGTCAAATTGCATCTGCCAGAGAGACAAGGAACCAACAGTCTGCATACATTTAATTCCAATCTGTAGAAGCCACACTCAGGTTCTGGAACAAGACTAAATTCCATAGGAGGACCCCAAAAAACACATAACTTATCGCCGGAGTTTACAGCCACTGAACGCGAAGAAGAGGAAGAAGAAGAAGAAAAAAGGCACAGTTACTTTGATAGAATGCCCTCCTCCACCCTCTCAAATGTTTCAGATCTGTCAAAGCTCCTGAACAGAACTTTTTTTCCTGTCCGTGTGCTCATCGGTGCGGTATTAGGTCTTCCACAGATATACAAAATAAGATCCATAGCCGGACATTTTTTCAAAAATGATCTCAGCTCTCAGGTCGACCCAGCCTTGAGTGGGTACCGGGTTCATCCCGGGAAGTAAAGGCGGCCGTCGTGATGCTGATCACATCACCCATCGTGTGCCGATTTGTCTATAAAATATAGGTTTAGCCCTATTTGCTGAAGGCATGAAAGAGGACCCTTTACTTTTCCTCTGCACAATAAAGATATCTGGCACAAAGACAAAAAAATATATACCATTAAAATGTTGAGCCTATCATTTCTGTTTATTAAAATATTGTTGTTGTCGCCCCCCCCCCCCCCCCCCTTACCCTAATTTGGCACATGCTGCAAAGTCTTCTAAAACTAAAAGGGTTACAAGATACTGACGTGAGATAGGCCATCTGTCGGTTTAGAATCTACATAACCGAAGACATGTCGTTGCCACAGTGTGTCACGAACTATTAGATAAGGTTGATTTCATGGGCAGTGCAGAAATACAGTGTTGGTTGCCCTCTTTTATCCTTCGGGAAGATTTCCTTAGGCTTCTAAATACACCTTAAATGTCGGTGTATTTGTTCTCGTTTAAACTAAATGCACGAATGAATGTAAGAATGAATAAATGAATACATTATTACGTATTAATTAAATAATGAAGAAATGCATTCCCGTATTTACTCTGTTTCTGCCACAGCAGCCAAGAAAGAGATCCCACACCGATGGTGTCAGTTGCACCCTGACCACAAGTCGGCCTTTCTCCTGCCGATGGAAAAACCGCCAGGACCTTCTGCCCACTACAAGCAGAATCAGACTCTTTAGATTTGAAAACTCTACCAGGTCTATTACACTGTTCACTTGAATTCTAGAGAACCTTCATCTACATCCGCTCAATCATAAAGTAGCTCACCGCCCAGAGGTGTATCAATAGCTAATCTAAAAGATGTTTCATTACTTAAATGAGTTAAGTAAAGACATGTATAGATACTTTGTCAGGTCTATTACATTGTTCACTTGAATTATAGAAAACCTTCATCACGTTCACTCACTCAGAAAGTAGCTCATCGCCCAAAGGCGTATTAACAGCTAATCTACAAGAGAAACCTAAGGTGAGTTAAGTGCCCGTATGAAATACTTTGTCAGTTCTGATAACATCAGAAAGCAATCAGGGGAAAGCAGCTTACCGCCCAAAGGGGCAGAAACAGCCAATCTACAAGATGTCTCATAACGCAACTAGACAATCGGGCATATGGTGATAGACTCATTTTTATAGATTATTCGGTGTTGGATAAGTAATATAGTAAACATTACACTGATTTTGCTTTCCATGATATTACCTAGGACTAAATTTGGTGTGAGCCGACCAGGGAGACATCGGGCTAGAAGTCCAGAGTCTAGCCCATACTCAACACCCCCCCCCCCCCCCTCTCAAAAAAGTTGTTAAAGTTTACTTTCACCAGTTAGTTACACGATAATATCCCCAGCCGAACTAGGTCACGTTCCAATGATACATTGTTTAGACTCGTCTACTGTCCGGGAGGTTACGGCTTTGTTTTTCTTTCTGGCTTGTCTTGCATTTCAGAGAAAAAGAGTGCCTGTAACATAGGTTGCACTTTCTATAAAGTTTTTGTAGTGTTAAAAAGCGTTGGCGTGCTTAAATATACAACACTTGATATCAAGGGCATTGCCGAATACCCCCTAGCAGGGTGCGAAAGTAGGGTGACTGGAGGTCGACCAATCAGAAGTGAGCTAGTGTGTAAAGTAGGGAGATTATCGTGGAACAGACCCTTTCACCAAAGCATGGGATTCTTAACGCATGGGCCGCGACCCCATCTGGGTTTAATAAGGGTTATATGTGGGATCGCCGAGTTGCAGTGAACTATGAAAATGTTAAAACTGGAAAACTAAAATTTAAGTCATCCCGTCCTGTACAAGCATTTGTTTGCAAAATGTGAGGAAAAAAACTAGAAGAACTGAAAACCTTTAAATATCTTGGCTCCCACATATGCAACGATGGCAGCTGTACCAAAGAGATGAAGACAAGACTTGATATGGCAACAGCCGTGATGTCGCAGCTGAATACGATGTGGAAGAGCAAAATCAGCATCGCACTCAACGTCAGTCTTTACAAATCACTGGTACTGTCTATTTTCTTGTACGGATGTGAGAGTTGGTCTCTCACTATGGATATGGAAAAGAGAATTCTGGCTTTCCAATGTTAATGCCACAGACACATTTTACGAATTAGTTATTTAGAACATAAAACTAAACAGACAAAATATACAAATTTGCGGGACATCAGGAGCCTCTCTTGGCAGTGGTGAAACGTTACCTGTTAGCTTGCTTTGGGCACGTAGTGAGAC